ACGCACCGGATGCCGTGCACGCGCTCAAAGACAGTTGGACATAGTCTTGTATTAGAGGTAAAACATGATATAAATACTGTTGGGTTTCTGGCAAAACCGATCGTTTCGTGTCTTAGGACATCAATGTGTCGTCACGAGCCGCAGGGTGTAATTTGGAAAAGTTTCGTGTCTTAGGACATCAATGTATCGTCACGAGCCGCAGGGTGTAATTTGGAAAAGTGTTTTTTACTCTCATAGATTTTGTTACCATTGCCATGCATTATACGACTGACAGACTGCAACGGCTGGAGTTAAAAATCATCAAATGTGTTCTACTGAAGAAACAAAGTCACCTACATCTTGGATGCCCTGGGGGTAAGCAGATAAACATCACATTTTCATTTTTGAGTGAACTATCCCTTTAATTGCAACAGTCTTGGGTTTGCTTTAAAGGGTGTGTCCGTGGTGGCGTGACAAAGTTCGAAGTTTCGCCATGGAAAAGGAAGTTGCTGTAACTCAGCCCTTCAATGTCCGATCTGTCCCAAACTTCACAGATTTGATAAGAGTTCTGACCTGAACACATCTAAAGGCCAATATTCTGTTCTAATCATAGCGCCACCTGTTGGCAACAGGAAATTACTTGTTTTACACTAACTTAAACATGCAATGTCCAATCTGCACCAGACTTCACGTTTTGGTAAGAGTCCTGGCCTGAAGACATCTAAAGGCTAAAGTTTTTAGCCCCTCATTTACCTGTGTATAAAGTCTACCCTTTCAGTTCCTACCCTTGCCTGTTATTAATGTTAACGTTGATGTGGATTTGCTTTTGCTTTGGTGTTTTGGATTATACCTGGATCTCCTGTGTTCGTTTTCCTGTGGATTTATTAAAGACTGTGTATTGAACCCTTCTTCTCGTTTGTGCATTTTACTTCGCTTAAGCTATCTGGACCGTGATTGGCGGAGGTGTGAAAGGTTCATCGAGTGAGAACAATAGAAACATGAATAGGGCATTTTGCCGGGCAAGACAATTAGGCTTTTATTAGTCTTCTCTAAAAACACACATGACATGGTCTTAGAAAATGTTTCTTGAACAGTAAACTTTCAAGTGTCAGCTTTGTAAACATATGTTGATTATGTATCTAGTCAGAAAGACTCATGAGCAGCAACCTCTTTATTTTGGGTATGCCATTTATGACCATATGCCAAATTGGGGGGTGCTTGCGAAGGGGTTAATAGATTGAAAAATGTAAATAATTTAAATGCATTTACACAGCAATAAGAATAGAGCTGTTCATGAAAGAGGACAACTAGAAGAAAAGATCTAGCTATATCAGAGCAAACTAAAGTTGTGTTTGCTAAATGCTTAATTATTAAACTACAATTGCTCATTTAAGATTAAGATGTGAAGATTAAGAATATAATAATTATATAAATAATATATATTTATCATATAAAATAATTATAATAAATATGCAGCACTTAAAGCCAGTCCATTTTATTTATTTTTTAAAAATGTTACAATGTAGTGACCTTTAATTTGGAGCAAGAGAAACTGGGGGAGTGACTTAATTAGTCAAAGATGAGTCACTTTGCTCACAGCTGATGATTGTATATGATTTTTGTATTTAGATATGCATAATTAGATTTATCTTGGATAGCCTTCAATTTTGACAACATCTGACAGGAATAACATGTTTTTCCCCATATATAAACAGTATAAAGTGTAGTTAATCAAAATAATTGATTGATTTACTGAATTTCAAAAGAATCTGTTTCAGTCCTACATCTTTAAACACTGCCCTTCACTGCAAACTGCCAATTAATTATGCTGTTTCTTTCCAAGGCAAAGGTTTCAATAGAAGATGAGGAACAAGACAAAAGAAAAGAAATGACAGAAAAAGCAAAGCATCTCTTTGACAGACTTCATCTTCGAGGCAGGCATCACTATCTGAGACCTGCAGATTTTCTTCAAGTAACTGTACATTCATTACAGTCCCATGAGTCTTGCGCTGAAGAGGAGCTGATTCAGACTTTCATACAGAAACTACTGATGACAAACTACAGAGTAAGATACATTAAAACTAAGGAGACCAATGAAGCAGATCATACACAAGGTGGCTATGATTCATTTAAACGTGAGGATGATTATGAAGATGTTTTACTCAAATTAATGTCTCTGTCTAATCATGGAAGTCAATGTGAGCGTATTCACCCGATGGATGTTCAGATGGCCGTGTTTCATTGTGCTGATGGTTTCCTGAAGCAGCTGATGGTCACTAAACTGTCCCAGTGTCAGTACGCTCTGCCTCTGCTTGTTCCTGATCCATTCACACAACAGATTGAGTTTCCTCTCTGGACATTCAGACAAATCAACAAGAGCTGGAAGATCAGAAACACCAACAAAGAAATCATCAGTCAAACCCAGCCGATCTGCAAGGCTGAGACTCCAATGGTGTTTTTCTTCAGGTTTGGCTCTGTGTCTTCATCCAAGTCTCAGCTGATGAACAGTTTGATCAATGAGAAACACAACACGTTCTTCCACAGGAACTGCCCAGGCAGCAGCAGAACCAGAGAACTGATGGATGGAGTGGTGGAGATCGCTTGGTTCTGCCCCTCTGGGAAAAATGATGATAAATTCACCGACTGTGTTGCGTTCTGTAATCTACACGGTGATGCAGGAGACCATGAGAAACAGCTTCAGGTCCTCACTGAAATGAGCTCAGTCAATGTTGTGCTTCTAGAACATAAACTTAATAAACAAGACAGAAGCTTGACAAAGTTGTCAGAACTCTGTAAGGGTTCAAAACCACTGTTTTGTCTTTTTGCTCAAGATGAATCTACTGTCCTTGAGACACAGAAAGGAACATACAAAATCGGATTGAAAGAGAGAAGTCAGTCAGATGTATCTGAAGAACTCAGAAGAGCTATAAATGATTGTCTCTCAGAATCATCTCGCACTTTCAGACTTGAAGATGTGTCCAAGCACTCAGGCATCAGAGTAGATGAGGAAGATGATGGTGACTGCAGGAGAGGAAGAGAAGCAGCACAGCAGATGATGAGTTTACTGAAGAAGAAAGATCTGGGAGACTTCAAAGAATCATTTCTGCCTCATCAGGGGAAACTGTGGCATCAGTGGAGTCAGAAGAACAAAGAACTACAGCGACCTAGAGGGGATGAACCAGAAATGGTCATCAGTAGAAAACAAACAGAAATGAGGAAAATCCGTCAAAAGCAGCATGAATCCGACATCAGTGAGTTTATGAAGCTCTTTATTAAAGAAATGAACTTACATGCTGAACATGAGAAGATTTTTTTCCTAATGCTGAACGCCATGTTTGGACTCCAGTTCGCGGTCAGTGCTGGCAGGTGCACCAGAGGAGCTTTCATGCAGCTGATCAGAGTCTCAGACGAGATGAAAACACTGATGAAATTTGACTATTTTCTGGTTGTTGACACTGAGGGACTTCGTGCTCTAGAACTGGCTGGAAGATCAACAAGAGATAATGACAATGAGTTGGCAACATTTGTTGTTGGTCTTGGAAATCTAACGCTGATCAACATCCTTGGAGAAAACCCAGCTGAGATGCAGGACATTCTTCAGATTGTGGTTCAGGCTTTCCTTAGAATGAAGAAGGTCAGACTGAATCCCAGCTGTGTGTTTGTGCATCAGAACGTTTCAGACCTCACAGCTGGAGAGAAGAACATGGAGGGAAGGAGACGACTGCAGGAGACACTCGATGAGATGACAAAACTTGCCGCTAAAGAGGAAAAATGTGCTGCAGAATGTTTCAGTGATGTGATTAGATTTGATGTTCAGAAAGATGTGAAGTATTTTGCTCAGCTCTGGGAGGGCAGCCCACCCATGGCACCACCAAACCCAAACTACTGTGAGAACATTCAAGAACTGAAGGAAACTATTGTATCCCATGCTTCAAGATCACATGGAATGAGACTGAACGACTTAAAAGATCGTATTAAAGATCTTTGGGAGGCTTTACTGAGTGAGCGATTCATGTGTAAATATGATCACCAGACACACTCTTTCAGTCAAAGACATTGACATAATGAGAGATGTGAGAGAGATCCTCAGTGACATCTATAAAAGTGCTCCCATAAAGGGCAATACTTACAACAATATTTTCAATGTGAAGAGTTATAGTGGATATATTGTTTTCAAAAAGTCTGGAATTATACAGATTCTTCGTAGAAAAATAAAATCTTTGTTTTCTCAACCTCCAGAGGATGAAATTAGAACCTTTGTTAATGATGTTGCTCAGCAGACAGACAGAATGATTCAGTCATTTAACATTGCAAAGATGGGCTACAATATCAGCTGCATTCAAAATCTCACAAGATACATCAAGAATAGAGTAACAGAACATCAGGAAGAACCAGCAAGATATGTGTTCAGGAATGAATTCTTCGTGGATTTGGTTCTTTCCATCTGCAAGAGAGCAGAGAAAATGATCCTAGACCAATACCGAATGTTCAGAGAAGACAATGATCCTATTCTCTATTTGGAGAAAAAGCGAAATGAATACTATAGTATTTTCCAGAAATGCTGTCATGGATCCACATCAGCTGTTATATTTGGTGAGATCATCTGTCAGAAACTGAAAGAGCCCATTGAACAGAGCGTCTACAAGAAGACTGCCAGAGATCTGACGGATGAAATGAGATCAAACTGTTCATCACTGAATGGAAACAGGTCAAATATGGAGAAACACATCTTGAAGACACTGGCAGAAGAGAAGGATTTTGACAAATACATAAGCTACATTCATAATCCCAGAGATCACATCAAGAGTTTCATCAGAGGTGAAGTCAGTCGGTACAACACTGATAAGTTCAGTGTCAGTGTTTTACCCAAGATGAAGGGGAACATTAAACTCCTGCAGCAGATGATCATGAGAGCAGCTCGTGAATCTACTGAACATGTTCAAGAGAACAGAGGAGATGCTGGTTTGTGGTTGAAGAGATTCACACAGCAGCTCTCAGATGAGCTGATCTTCTCTGAAAAAGACCTCAGTGGAGTCAAACATGATGATGTTGAGGATTTCAACCTCTTAGAAGAAATGATAAGAGAAGAACTTACAGCTGTAATGTCTAACATCAGCCGCAGATTCAACACAACGACTTTTCCTGTACATCTGGACTATAAATTCAGACCAGATGAGCTTCTGATCGATCAATTCTGTCAGTGCTGTTGGGTTCAGTGTCCATTCTGTAAAGCTACCTGCACCAACACCATAGAAAACCATGATGGAGATCACAGTGTTCCTTTCCACAGAGTTACTGGACTGAATGGATGTATTTACCACAAAACAACAAACTTGGCTATTAGCGTCTGCACATCAGCAGTAGCAAGCAATCTATCTTTTTATCCCACTGACTCAAATGATGCAGTCCTTTGGAGAGAATACAGAACAGCAGGAGAAAAATTTGCTACCTGGAGCATCACCCCCGATCTCTCTGAACTGCCCTACTGGAAGTGGTTTGTGTGCAGATTCCAGAAAGATCTGGAAAAATACTACAGTAATACATTTGAGGGGATGGGTAAGATTCCAGAAGAATGGAATAACTACACAGAACAGGATGCATTTGACAGTTTGGATAAATACATTTAATTAAACAAGCGAAATATATTTCACTTAGGTTCTGAACAC